GAACCACCCCTTAAAACAAAGAGCACACACAAAAGCCTTTCCCCCCCAAGATTTGAAAGTATCTTGTCTCCTTATTGGTCCTTGGGGTCAGGTGTCAGCCAGGTTACCCGAGCTTCTTAACCCTTTACAGGTAAAAGGATTTGGAGTCTCTGTACACAGAGAGCTGTTACCCTTCCCTTTATAGTTATGACAGGTCCCTTTGCAGTGGGAACTCCTCTCTAAAATGGGTTCAAGGAATATACATGAGCAGAGAGGCACCAGCAACGAAGCTTCACTTGAGATGCGTTGCCTGGGCTTAGGGGTCTGGGCCCTAAAACAGAGGTAACACAGCCTCCTGGGTTTGGGGTGGTGGGTTTTGGTTATAGTCTGTCCCATGGTGAAGGGCAAATCCTCCTTCCCAGCATGGGAAACTCCACAAGGAAATTCTCATAGAATTCCCCTATGTATTTTAATGCAGAAGCGGGAAATCCAGCCCTCTGTTCTTTTTTTTTTTTAATTAAAACTGGCCTTTGCATGAGAAAGCCCAACCCTGAAATCTAGAAAAGCTGACATTTTCAGTTGCTTCAAATTCCTACAACTACTGAGCAGATGTACTTGTAACTTTAGCAGTCCCTTAAGTATAAGTGATGTGATTTTAGCAATATACATTTGCCCTCCTGCTACAACTAACCAAAACCTTAATGATACTAATGACACCTAAATAATTTGTAAAATTGGTTTCAATTAGGCAGACAGGTGTGAATGAAATAGATTATTCAGTGCAAACCCCAAAGTTAGAGTAGATCTAAGACCATTTTAAAAATTCAAGAGATACTTTGCCCTTGATTAAAAGTTTAAAATTGGTCTTTAATAGAATTAAAGTATACAAAAGCTGCAAGTTCAAAGCTGAAAAATAGAGACGGCATGTACTTCTGTTTCAAGAAGTCTACACAATGCTGTGAATAAATTAGGTAGCGTGGTCTATGAGAACTTAATACTGTAATATGGATCAGAAGGAAGAATGGCATAATAGAACAATACGAGATGTAAAAGGATTGAATCATAAGTGCTCCTTTCTGTAAAACCAGATTAGTAGCCTAAATGCTGATTTACCTATTACAACACTGAATTAGTCCAACTATATCTTAACATCTGTTGATGCAATCCAGTGTACCCAAAACAATTACAGGATATGCCATACTTGATAATATACTCAATATATCTCTACTAAAATAAACCATCAGTTAACCTACACCAAACAAAACCCGCTCACTTTGCCTGTTCAATAAACATCGTAGAATTGCCTTAAATGAACAATACATATATATTTTTTAAATACATCAACACAGTTTTAAATGTGAAATGCAGTTAATTTTCCACATAATCTTTTATAATGTGTTATTGTACACTGCCATCTCCTGGTATCTTCTTGTATTTCAAGAGTTCTGTTTTAGCCAATACAAGTTAACATGAAAATCAATCTCTCCAAAATCATAAAAAGTTCAAGCAAAATGGAACATTCCACAGCATAAAACTGAAAAGGAAGAATAAAAGTATAAGTTTCTCATTGACCTTAGAAGATCAAGAAAAATATTCTGACCAAAACACTTGATTCAGTTTCATTTTAAGAAACACCACGCTTAAAACATGACAATTGGCAAAACTGTAGCAGAGTTATATAAGAACATAAATACACTAGAAATTTGCAATTTATATAAAATCAAATAAATTACAACTACCAGGCCATTGAACATGTACCAGCTACAGTGATGTGGAAGTAAAACCACCAAATATAAATCAATCATATATGTATTATCGAGGTATTGAACATAAGGTTGTGCTGACAAATGCAATTCAGAAAAAAATATTTCCTTCCCAAATCATCATCTCCTACTAAAAGGGTTTCAATTTTGTGAAGGTTTTAAATGTTTCTGTTGAAAAGTTGAAAAATAGAAGCATTGTAAATGTTCTGCTGGTTTCTCCAGGTCTTTCTAATTTATATGTTTTGAAAACTTACTGTATGTACTGATAATGTATCCAGTATGGGACATGTATTGAATTCAATATTACACAATAAAACATTTATTGACATTTTTCACTTTCTTTTATGTCACAGCATTGTGAAATCAAATACCATACCCGTTTGATAGCAGAGGTATTTGGTGACAAATCCTTTAGATGATAAATGCATTTTACTACAGTCAAGCAACACAATATTTTTTTACCCAGGTAACAACCAGGATTTACAAGACCAAGGACAAGATGTCAAAGCAGGTCCTACCTGGGGTCTAGTCCCCCACAGCAGGCCAATCTCTCCAGAGATTGCTCCAGCATCATCCTCAGCAACTCCTTTTTCTCCAACTGAAGGGTTCGTCTCCCCCGTTTTTCTGCCCCACCCACTACATCCAGCACATCATCACACACACAGTCATCTTCCTCCACCTGAGAAGCCACAGGAGAGAAAAACTGCTCCTTGAGATCCCCCAAGAATCCCCCCCACACACACACAAATATAAAAATATAAACATCAATATCCTTTATATGCACAGTGTCCCAAGTGATCTCAATCATACTGTCCTACTCCTCATCCTTCCTTTCTCCTGCCCCCCTCTCCGATGCTGGCTCTCCTGTTGACCGTGTCTTAATATTCATTTTTCCACTAAATATTAACAGCCCTCAACAGCACTGCTGCTGGTGCCCACTTTTATTGCAATTACCTAATTTTCGAGCATGGATGTAGTATCTCTACTTCGAGGGAAATCAAGCACTGATCCACTCCAGCCAAACAGCTTGTCAGTTTAACTGTCTCCTTGGATCTACCTGAAGAACTCAACAGTTCCATTTCATAAAGGGAAAAGAACTCAGTGATGTCCAGTGGGGTTACAATGGAAACAGGCAATACACTGGATAAATATGCCTAAAGCTTTTATATTTACTCTCCACTAGCAGCAAGAATGAAAGTTGAGCTTAAAGTTTGTTTTCTTCTGCCTGATTCAGCACCATGTTGCACTAATTTTGTGCCTATGTAACTCCACTGATTTCAGCAGAATTACACCAGCATTAAGCAAGAGTAACACAGTGGTAAATCAAGCCCCTTATTTCCTTTACACAATAAGCTCCTATTTTGTGCCTAGCTAACATTTAAAATTGTATGACTGACTCAATGTTAGAAGGGTAAAATAGTTATTTAACTGTGTTCAAACCCTTACAATGAGTAATGTTTCAAAATTATTAACAGAATTTTAGAATTGGGTTCCAGACGTTTAAAACCTTTTACTAAATATGTACTACTTATTATAGTACCAGTTATGTACTTCACAATACAAATAAAGATGGATTTCCTGCCTGGAGAGCTTGCAATCTAAAGTAGTGATAGCTAAAAGGCTGAAAAAGACCAAGAAATAATAACTAAAATTTTAAATTGCGAATGGAGCATTTTAACTTGGTAGAATGTATACCCACTTTGCTGTACTGAATCAAAGTGTGTGTGGGTGGGTGGGTGGGTGGGTGGGTGTGGGTGTGGGTGTATATACACACAAACTACAACTAACATACAACACCCCAACAAGCATCCCTTTCCACCTCCCAATTGCTGAACATCCTCACACACACACACACACACACACACAAAATCAATCTGTTCCAGTCTTACCTCCCAGCAGCTGTAGCCTGCTTCAAAAACTACTCCAACCCCATCTGATTCACAACCAAGATACCAAACTAGCTTACAACCACCAGCAAACTAAACAAAGCAAAACAAAAAAACGGAAAACCAGCACCAAATTTCTAAAAGTCCAAAAAACCGCAAAAAAAAGAAAAGGAAGAAAATTAATTTACAGAAGAGACTGGAATATTAATTAATTCTGTGATCATTTGACTCAGATCAGGCTTTACAAAGGGAGAACAGACAAATGCAAGAAAATTAGACATTTTAAGTTGCTCAGACTTATTTTGCATACAAACCAAGATGGGGAATTTAACTTCTTCCTGCAGAACCCTGCCTCCGCCACTGTGTGGCAGTAGAATACAGTAGCATTCTTTAAAGTGCTGCTGTTTAAAGGCAGCACTTCAAAAATTAGGTACACAGGGTAGCACTGGAGATGTATTTGCCTGCATACCTGGAATGTTAGATAACAGAGAAGCAAATCCTGATCTCCTTTCCACCGGGGGGAAGGCCAGTGGGATGCTATGCAAGTGAATTCTGCAGCCGATGCACTACCATGGAGCAGGGCTCCATGGGGGTTCTCTCCATAGAATAGGAAGTGGGGTTTGGACAGGGTTTCCAACTTTCTAATTGCACGAAACTGAACACCTTTGCCCCACTCCCTGCCCCACCCCTTCCTCAAGGCCCCAGCCTGCCCCGTCCTTTCTCTGAGACCCCGCCCCTACTCACTCCATCCCCCCTCCCGCACCCTCACTCACTCCTCATTTTCACTGGGCTGGGGCAGGGGTCTGGGGTGCGGGAGGAGGTGAGGGCTCTAGCTGGGAGTGCGGGCTCCAGGGTGCGGCCAGAAATGCGGGGTTCAGAGTGTTGGAGGGGGCTCTGGGTTGAGGCAGGGGATTGCGGTGTGGGAGGGGGTATGGGCTCTGGCTGGGGATGCGGGCTCCAGGGTGCGGCCAGAAATGAGGGGTTCAGGGTGCAGGAAGGGGTTCCAAACTGAGGTGGGGGTTGGGGTGTGGGAGGGGGTGAGGGTTCTGGCTGAGGGTGCAGGGGGTTGGGGTGCAGGCTCCGGGAGGCAGTTAGGGTGTGGGAGGGTGTGGGGGGAGTGGTGACATGTCCTCTGGCTCCTAGGCGGAGGCGTGGCCAGGCGGTACAACTTCTCCTACCAATATAGCTACTGCCGTACATGGAGGTGGTTTTATTATGTCAACAGGAGAGCTCTCTCCTATCGACACAGAGCGGCTACACAAGCAATCTTACAGCAGCGCAGCTGCATCAGTACAGCTGTGCCGCTGTAAGCTCGCTGGTGTAGACATGGCCTCAGTTTCCAATTCTTTCCTTTTGTAGTTTATTCCACATATGCAAGAAACACTTTCAAAACACATTAGAGGCTAATCAGCATTTTTATTATTATTGCCCTCTGCATCATTCAAGAAGGCACCCTGAAACAAGAGACATCAGACATGGAAGAAAAGAGTAATCACGGCAATACATTTTCTGCTCTGAAAGGATTTAGAATCTAGACACAACTGGAGTTTTCTGATTGGTTGTCAGTGATGTCATAACCATGGCTATAATGCTTAGTAATTGCACAAGGCTAATTGTCTTCCTTTTTAACTTGTAAATTCTAGTCCATAATAGCAATAAGAGATACCACACAATGCATTTCAAAGAGATTACTGCACTTTTAGGTAATTAAAGCTACTCATCATTCATCTTTAGAAACAGTGGCATAGAAGTAATTTCAGATATGCAACATCTACTGAAATGCTCCCACCACACCCCTAGCATATATACAGCAACACCCTTCCCTCTTTCCAAACAAAACGATCTTGTTCTTTTCTGTGTATCTCTCTCATACACACAAAGCTCTGTCCATTTCTCAACTTCTTCCTTCCCCCTCTGACCACGTACATGGTATCCACCCTTTCCCACCCAGAGGCCAGCCATTTGTCCTGCCCCCTCTCCCAGATGGTGAAGTGGGAGCACTGCTCACGCCTATGTTTATTAACACTTGGCTACATTTCCTAAATTACACTGTTATTCTGAAGGTTTTAAGAAAGAACATGCTTTTATTATTTTTACCTAAAGGCGCCTTTCCTTTCAATTTTCTTGAATTCTGGGTGGCTAGACTTTCTCCATCGTCTTCACTCTTTGGTATAGGTCCAATGATATCTATGTAGTCAGTTCTCTCAGCAAACGCATGGAATCTGTAATATAAAAAGGGTTTTCATCTCTAAGGCCTGGTCTACACTAACACCCCAATTCGATCTAAGGTACGCAACTTCAGCTACGTGAATAACGTAGCTGAAGTCGACATACCTTAGTTCGAATTTACCGCGGTTCAGATGCGGTCCACACGCGGCAGGCAGGCTCCCCCGTCGACTCCGCGGTACTCCTCTCGCTGAGGTGGAGTACCGCAGTCGACGGCGAGCACTTCCTGGTTCGACTTATCGCGTCCAGACCAGATGCGATAAATCGAACCCGGAAGTTCGATTGCCAGCCGTCGAACTACCGCGGTAGTGTAGACCTGGCCTAAGTAAATTATGTAAATACAGCCCTAGTTTATCCCTTCATTATGTACCTCTGAGCATCCTTGTTGCCCTTCTGAAGAACTCATTGATTTCTGTTACTGTATATTCATACGGTGAAGAGGCCAGAAATTGGGGTACTTCAGAAGAGGGAATACCATTCTTCAATATGAAGACACTAGCATAAATGTTCTGAATCATTTCCTTACCTATTTCAATGCATCAAGCATACTATTAGCTCTTAACTGATGTTGCATGCTGATCAGGAATATTTGCTGAAGAGTCCAAGACAACCCTGGAGTCTTTTTAATCAGGGCATCCTGTAAGTTCAGAGCCCCACAAGTGCCTTTATTGAACTACTGATATACAAGCCAGAGAGACAGGCAGAGCTCAAACATCCACCTGAAAATATTCCACAGGATGAGACAAGTTATTCCAAACACATTGAGGGTGTATTTCCATGGTACTTGAGCCGTAACATCTGATTAATGCAGGCCTCGCAGAAAGGGAAAGAAACAGGCCTTCCCAAAACAGGGATGTACAAGAAACAAAGGCACTAACCATGGGGATCCGATGGATCCCTGACTACAGCTGTGGAACAGCTAGGCCTACACTTTCCTCCAGGCTCCCTTCTGGTTGCACAGCCAGCTACCCAGCTGCCTGCCCTGCATCTGTGCACCGCTACCCAGCTGCAAGGTGTTATTGCTGGTCCACTGAGCATTAACATTCACACTAGACATCTGCAGAATTATTTAGGGCTCAGGAGGGATCATACCACATAGAACGATTCTGCCCAGCTCCCCAGTGCCACTACCACAGCTCTGCAGAGCCTCCACAAGATGGCATTCCTGAGGAGGGACTGCCACCATGCCCCTAATTATTATTATTTATTTGGATTATGGTTGTGTCTAGAAGCCCAAATCAGGTTTGAGGACCCATCAGCCTAGTCACTGTACCAAAACAGAGCAGACCTTGCCCCTAAGAGGTTACGACCTAAAAAAAAAGATAAGACAGACAAACAGAAATAGATAAATAACAACTAAATTAACGTAATATAAATATATACAACTCCTTAGTTTCCACCCTCCTCCCCCCACCATCACCCTTCTCCCTAAACCTACGGCCACTGTTCAGGACACAGCCAATCTGCATGTCACTGCCATTGCCCACCCAATGGGCCCTCCTCCACCTTCTCCACCCAAGGGAATACATTCAACCTCAGTCAGCTGGGGGGAAAACCCTGCCCAGTGTCTGAAGGCTGATACCTGCCTCTTCTCCCTGTGGAGCTGGTCACCTAACTGCTCCCCAGAAGGACGGGGCAGGTTGCCTCCCTCCCATGTATCCAGCAGGGACAAAGCAGACTCTGGGGAGGCATGGTACAGTGCGGAAACTCCCCTCTATAAGGGCTGATGGATAACATCACCTCTGCTTCTTGTTGTCCCAAGACCTGCCTTAAATTAGGTAACATTGCAGCAGTTCTGACACTTCCTTTTGTGTGTTACAAGTCATCTAGCCAGCCCTCTGTACTGAGGCAGGACTACGTATTCCTAGACAATCCCTGACAGGTGTTTGTCCAACCTGTTCTTAAAAATGTCCAGTGATGGGGACTCCACAACCTTCTTCGGAAGCCTAGTCCAAAACTTGACTATCTTTACAGTTAGAAAGTTTTTCCTAGTATCTAACCTCAATCTCCTTTGCTGCTGATTAAACTGATTACTTCTTGCCCTACCTTCAAGGGACACAGAGAACAATTGATCACTGTCCTCTTTTAAACAGCCCTTAACATATTTGAAGACCGTTATCAGGTCCCTCCTCAGTCTTCTTTCCTCAAGACTAAACATGCCCATTTTTTTAACCTTTTCTCACAAGACAGGTTTTCTAAACCTTTTATCATTTTTGTTAATCTCCTCTGGACTCTCTCCAGTTTGTCCACATCTTTCTTGAAGTGCAATGCCCAGAACTAGACACAGTACTCCAGCTGAGGCCTCACCAGTGCTGAACAGAGTGGGACAATTACCTCCCTCCCGTATCTTACATATGACACTCCTGTTAATAAACCCCAGAATATTAGCCTTTTTCGCAACTGCATCATATTGTTGGCTCATATGCAATTTGTGATCCACTATAATCCCCAGATCCTTTTCTGTAGTACTACTACCTAGCCAATTATTCCCCATTTTGTAGCTCCGCATTTAAATTTTTCCTAAGTGTAGTACTTTGCATTTGTCTTTAATAGATTTTATCTTGTTAATTTCAGATCATTTCTCCACTTTATCAAGGTCGTTTTGAATTCTAATCCTGTCTTCCAAGGTGCTAAAAACCCCTTCCAGCCTGGTGTCTTCCAAAAATATTGTAAGCACACTCTCCTCTCCATTATCCAAGTCACTAATCAAAATACTGAATAGTACCGGGCACCCATGACAGACACCTTGGGCACTCCTTTAGATATTTCCTCCCAGTTTGACAGCCAACCACTGATAACTACTCTGAGTCTGGTCTTCCAACCAGTTTTTCACCCACTTTATAGTAATTTCCTCAGAACACATTTCTCTAGTTTGCTTAGGAGAATGCCAGGTGGGACTGAGTCAAAAGCCTTCCTAAAATCAAACTATATCATGTCTGCTGCTTCCCCCATATCCACTAGGCCAGTAACCCTATCAAAGAAGGAAATTAGGTTGGTTTGGTAAAATTTATTCTTGAAAAATCCATATGGGCTATGAATTATTGTTGGCCTCTCCAGAAATTTTGTTATATTATGGGTGGAAGCAAGGTTAGTGTGTGTTCAGTTCATGCCCCTCTAGTATTTTTAGCAAAAGGAAAGATTAAGGACAGGAAAGTCCAGCACTAGAATGTCCCCCACTCTTGGGGGACAACATAGAGGGAGACCAACTGCATAATCCAGCCCCCCAACCCCCACCCCCAGACAGGCTTACAATCACAGGAGAATGTGATGAGTGTGTGCCAAGCCCTGAAACAGGAAACAATCTGACTGGGATTTTTCTACCAAAGACTGCTGCTGCTCTGGGTTCTGATGACATTGGGGATTACTCCCCATTTACATCCTCCTACTATGTGGCAGGAAAGCCAGTTACTGGTTTAGCCTTAATTTATGCAGGAGAGGACCAACAAGACCTCTTTTCAAGACAGACTCCCTCAGCTCAATATGCTGATATTGCTGCACTCGTTCAGGCTATAAAAGGCCTGAAGATGGGGAGTGCTGGTGTCTGATTTGAGTTTTGTGTGTAATGCACTTACTGCTTTTCTTCCATTCGATACAAAAAAAAATGAATGGAAGAAGAGTGATGGCAGGAGCATTAAGCATGCAGGCTTGTGAAAGTGGTTGGATCAGATGAACAAGACAAGGGATTGATGGAGGTCTGGGTAATGAAGGATAAGGCACAAGCCAAGAGTGGAGAAATTAAAATATGGAATGATGAAGCAGATAGGGCAGTAAAGGAAGCAGCCAAAAGTGGATTTATATGGCCAGGAGAGACGGCCACCGCTGGGGTAGAGGCAGTGACAACTAGGGCCGTGAAACAGAGAGAGAGAAAAGATTTTGATCTACAGGCTCTACAAAAGGAAAATGAGGAAATACAAGACACCTTAAAATCATTAGGTGGGGGAACTGGTGTATTATATGAATGGGAACTAAAAAGACAGGGATGGACTACTTGTGGCTTGAAAATCAGGGGAGGTCCTGGTTGGATTAAGTGAGGAGTTCATGAGAATAGACACACAAAAGGTGGACATTTAAATTAACTTAGCACTAAAGAGCGAGTGTTTACTGTGCAATGGAGGCCAACAACTACAACTGCTAGAGAAAATAAATGCTTTTTGGTAATTGTAGATGCTTTTACTAGGCGTATAGAAGCTATTCTGACTCAACACTGTACAGCCATCACCACAGCTCAGGTGCTAACAGAGCAGGTATTCTCTAGGTGGGGTCTTCCTCAGGCTATGGATAGTGATAATGGTCCAGCATTCATGGGAAAAGTGACTAGGAAGGTTTGTGAGATACTACAACATGATCAGAAATTCCATATACCATGCCACCCACAGAGTTCAGGACTGTGGAACGAGCCAACCAGACTGATTAAAAACAACGCTGAAGAGGTGGTAAGCGGCTCAGGGAAAGACTGGGATGTTAAACTACACCTTGTTTTAAAGGTCATAAGGGGAAGCATGGCGAAGGCTATGTGGGTTACCCCTTTTGAGACTATGACTAGAAGGGAGATGAGATATTCATTACCCCAGTGATGGACATAATGCAGTGTAACAGAGCAGCAGCTCAAGGAATTGGTACGGCATATACAAGAGGTACACAAGATGGTGGCAAGAAGCCTAGGAGAGGCCCAACAAAAAAAATGAAAAGATAATTGATGACCAAGCCTCTGGCAAGGCATTTGAAGTGGGAGATCAGTTCCTTGTGCAGTATGTCTCAAATAAAAGGCCATTTCCAAAAGCCAGTTGGGAGAGTCCCTGCTATGTAATGGACAAGGCTAGTCCATCCATACCGCTGGTCCAGGAAAAGGATGAAAAAGGGGTGGTGAAACAATGGTTGTATGCTATGCAGATGAAACCACACAGAGGGAAGGACAGAAGGAATCTATTGATATAAAAAGAGGAAGTGACCGTAATTGTTTTCTTTTTCAGGTGTTGATCACCGTGGGGTTCACTGCATTGGGGTCCATGGTATTAATGATACAGCAGAGGAACAAGGTGGTGACAGTGCACAAGGTGGAGAAAGTCACCCTAGCCTTACGGTTTCCAGGTAATCATGCAGGAAAGCCTACAAAGCTCTGGTACAGACTGAACTGCAGCCAAGGTGGAAGATCCTGCAGCACAAGCAACTCTCAGGAGCTGGGACTTGGACTACGGGACCCAAAGGGGACCATGTGTTTAAATTGGATGGTAATGGCTAACCTAACCAGTTATAGCATGCAGTTAACACATGCGGGAAATATTACAGTTACTCTAGCAGATCATCGAAAGAACTTCTGCCCAGGAGTCCACCTACCATGCCAGGAAAGTGACTGAGGCTTTGAGGTTCTCTCTGAATGTGACTAAGAACTGGCAGAGTACCATCACTGCTTCTGAACATACTGGTGTAACAATGCTTCCTATTCCAGAATTGAAGCATGATGAACCATGCCCAGAAATGGAAGCAGGACCTGACAATGGACTAATTATAAATTGTGAATATCAGATTATGTATAATAATGTACAGTACCAAATGATACCCGTAGTATTGAATTTAACCAATTTTACATTCCCACAGCAGCTCTGTCATGCAAAATTTGTGTGCTTCTATATGCAAATGGTAGTAAATGTGGTGCAAAATTTCAGACAATCAATGGATGGGGTGGAATTGGAGGAAATTTGGAGGCCTGAGGAGGGAAAGAGTCAGGGAGAAAGAGATAAAAGAGATACAGGAATAGTACAAGGAGTTGAGGCATTGGAAACATCAGCATGGAATCATATGCATATCAGAGTATTGTGGGAAGAAAATCAGAAAATGAGTTCAATTACGAAGCCTGTTAAAAAGTTAAATAAACAACAGAATGAGGATATAGGGGAGGATTTAAAGGGTTTCAGGATGCTAGAATAACAGGACAGTTGTTTAGGGAAGTGGAAGCAGCACTCAATGAAATGCAAAAAATCATGAACCATCCTAATGTATCAAAGGTGATTACCTGTTTGTGGTATGGCAGCTTCCTAATATAGGAGCTACAGGTAGAACTAAAGGAAATTCAAGGTGGGGAAGTGCCTGGGTTGTTGATAAATAAGGTGCTACTCAAGGATCTTCTATGCTGAGAAAAAGTGCACGCTTAATAAGACATGGATCTTTCCTATAGTACTAGCAATACCAGTGGCCACAGGACTAAGTAAAGCATTAACAGTGTATAGCATCCAGTTCGTAGGTATGTTGGAACCTACCCTGGCAGGTGACATCTTAAAAGAACATGTCACTCATCCTCAGATACTGGTAAGGACGGGTGGGGGAGTCTGGAAAGCCCCGGATACCTCATGTTGTTCCAAGAGGCATGGTACCTATTTATGTTGTTGTGATGTACAGCATGTGGGTTCACCTTGGATGAAGAAATCCAAAACAACACATTACAGATGAGGCAATGGGGACAAGGTCAAGCCAAGATTGCAAAAGCTGGAGAAGGCAAACACCGTATAACCTTGTGGGTTGGACATTTTCAGTATGGGACACAAACGTTATTACGACTTGCCAATGTTCTGCTCATTTTGTGGTTTAGCCTTTATGATTTTGTCCCTACATGCCTGTGCTATTCTTTTGTACTCATCCTTAGCTATTTGTCCACGTTTCCACTTTTTGAGGATTCCTTTTTGATTTTCAGATTATTCAAGAGCTCCTCAGGGAGCGATTTTGGCATCTTACTATTTTTCCTGTGTTTCTTTTGCAACAGGATAGTTTGCTGATGCACCTTTAATATTATCTCTTTGAGAAACTGCCAGCCAGTGCTGGAATTACAGGGTAGCTTGGGGGAATGGGACCCCTTACTACTTTTAGGGGATACCTCACTTCTGTCTTACAGCCCCCTTACTTCTCACTACGGTTTAAATGAAAGCAAGCCACTTGACATTCAGGGGCACGCAACTTTTCTCCTATAATTTAAGCATTGCTGCAAGCTCTCCTGAACGACTTTTTCCCTTAAATTTTCTTCCCATAGGACCTTACCTACCAATTCCCAGGGTTTGTTAAAGTCTGCTTTTTTAAAAAAGTCTATTGTCCTTATCCTGCTGCTCTCACTCCTTCCTTTTCTTAGAATCATGAAATCGATCATTTCATGATCGCTTTCACCCAAAATTGCCCTTAACCTTCAGATTAGCAGCCAATTCCTCCCTTTTAGTTGGAATCAAGTTTACAATGACTGTCCTCCTGGTTACTTCCTCCACCTTGTGAAACAAGAAATGGTCCCTGGTACATTCCAAGAACTTATTGGACAGTTTGTATTTTGCGGTATTAGTTTTCCAACACATCTCTAGCACGACTGCTAACTATAAACATTGCAGCCTCTGCATAAAGCTATAAATTGTAATTAAGTCAGTAAGATGTTTGCTTTATGGTTACCTCCTCCTCCAACCCCACTTCACCCATTTCATTGTCTCATCCACCTGCTGAGTCTTGTCACAACTTTAACTGTGAATTATCTGGGACAGAGGCTGTCTTTTTACTGTGTGTTTGTACAATACCGAATACAACAGGGTTCTGAATTCCTTATTGTTGCCCACAAGTATTACTGCAATACAGTATATAAAGCAATCAATCATCTGTTTCAGCATATTTTTGTGTCCATCTCTTTTCCTTGCACTTTTTTTTCTGCAGGCCCAAGAATAGGTGGAGCTGACAGATTGTTTCTCATTTACATAGTAAGCTGACTTAAAGAGAGAGACCGTGAGCACGTGTGTGGAGGGAAGTTTGGTCTGAGCACAGGAACTCCTGAGTTTTAATCCCAGCTCTTACAACAATTTCCTCTGTGACCTTAAGAAAATTACTTAACCTCTTTGTCTCAGGTTTATCATCAGTAAAATGGGAATAATACTCACTTATCTCCCAGGTATGGTGTAAGGATTCACATGTTTCTATCTGTATAGTCCTTCAAAAGTACTGAAATCATGTAGCAGTAGTAGTAGTATTCCCCATACCTTCCAGAAGTCAGTTGGCTCGGCTCCTTTAGGAAAAGAATGGTTTCTTCCTCCTTTGCATTAAAAGATACTGTGTGGATTGGGTACGGGCTGTTAGAAACCTTCTGCAAGAGTAGCTGCTTCATGTCCTTTGGAAGATCACCCACAGTAAAGTAATAAACAGCTTCAACCTATGGTAGATACATTATGCATATTATTAAACAGAAAACAATAGGAAGACTTATTTTGCATATAGCTGCTTTGGATTTACTCTAGCAATGCGTTATGCTGACATGAGGAAAGAAAAATCAGTAGAGTTGACTCATTACTCAGTGGAGTTACACTAACATAAAACTGGTTGAAGTGACAGGAGAATCAGTCCCACAGCTATCACAGCCCAGTATCTGAGACAGAATATGGCAATAACTGCAGTACCTCAAGCACTGTGTAAGTATTGATAAATGATCACTTTTAAAAGAAGCCACTCTCCACATACACAGTAGGGAGCTCTGGAGCACCCACTAAGGAAAATAAGAGAAGATAAAACTGGTTGAGCCTGAGAAGGTATTAAGGAACCTTGAAGGTATTAAGGAATCACGTCCATGCCTTCATTCTCCTGTGAGGTACAGTCCTACAGTAAAGCAGATTCAATCCTCCATTAGACCCAGTGAGTGTTTCAATTTTTGCCTTCTAAAGGGTATGTGTACACTTTGAGCGGGGGCTGTAATTCCCAGTTCAAGGAGACATACCCGTGCTAGCTCTGGTTGAGTTAGCGTGCTAAAAATAGAGTGTAGCCTCAGCAGCAAAGCAACAGGAGGCTAGCCGCCCCAAGTAGATACCTAGCATCTTGGACTGCTATATGTAGTTGGGTGGAAAGCCTGTCCCACCACTTGTACTGCCAAGGCTACACTATTTTTAGCATGCTAGCTCAATCAGAGCTAGCACAGGTATGTCTCTTGAACTAGGAATTACAGCCACAGCTCAAAGTATAGACACAACCTTAATGGATCTTCATCTTAGTCCCCTGAATCCCTGATGAGCTAATAGACTGACACATGGGCATTTTTACCCCAACTTTCTCTGCATGCACAGAGGAGACAGGATTCTCCAGCTACCCCACACAGTTAGTAGGTGTTGGGAACTGCAGGTTAAATACTGCTGACTCACAGGGGAAGGTGTGATTCATTAGATTCCACCTTGAGTGTAAGGGAGTGACGACTAGCCCTCTGGGAGAGTGACCTAGGATTTGAGACAGGTACGTCCTGAGGAAAGGAGCCCTAGGGAGTAGCTATGCCTGAGGTGAAGGACAGTACCAGGTTTACAATGGCGCCATTGCGCCGGACCCACATGCAGAAGGTGCCAATTATGGTTGCCAAGCAGAAGCGCTGGAAGCTCCCTAGAAGTGGGGGGGCCACTGGTGCCTGGACCATGGCCCCACCCCCCGCGCTCTACCCTGAGGTCTTGCCTGCGCTCCACCTCTCCCCTCTTAGCCCCAGCCTGGAGCCCTGAACCTCCTGCACCAGCCCGGAGCCCTCTCCTGCACCCAAACTCCCTTCCCAGAGCCCACACTCCGCACACACACACCCCAACCCCCTGTCCCAGCCCTAAGCCTCCCGAAACCCTTCATTCCCGGCCCCAACCCAGAGCCCACATCCCCAGCCTGGAGCCTCTCCCACACCCTGAACCCTTCATTTCTGACCCCACCCCAGAGCTCACACCCCCAGCCGGAGCCCTCATCCCCCTCCCGCACTCCAACCCCCTGCTCCAGCCCGGTGAAAGTGAATAAGGGTGGGGGAGAGTGAGCGACAGAGGGAGGGGGGATGGAGCAAGCGGGGACAGGGCCTCGGGAAGGGGCAGGGTAGGGGTGTTCAGTTTTGTGCCATTAGAAAGTTGGCAACCCTACTCTGGGGACCAACCCCACCATGATGGCCCACAAAAGGTTAATCTGGCCCTGATGAAGGTTTAGGCTAAGTAAAGAAACCACAGGAGCAGCCAAGTCTGGGGAAACAGTTTAGCTACTGTAAGTTTAATGTGGAATTATTTTTTTGTTAACAAAGCCAGCCTCCAGGAGTGAGTCACTTTATGACTCTACGATGAAGGTGTAGCTTTTGCCTGGAGCCAAGAGGGGACTCCACTAGTTTACACTACACTACACTGAACATACACTAAATGAATTTTCATTGATAAGGTAATAGTTGTAATTAAACTCTGTTCCATGATGACCAACAGCCAAAAGGACTCTCCTGGATGGTGCACTATCCCACCAGTGTGTTGAAAAATAATAATAAGGCATATGTGTGAGGTTCTCTACCAGTTGGCTGGATTTTTTAACATTCTCTTCAGACCCGGACCTACAAGGCCTGATAAGCCTGTTTTTTTTAGCCAGACAATACTGCAAATTGGTAATGTTTTCCCAAAAAAGCAGTGATTGTCACATTGCTAAAAAAAAATCAGACATAAGAAAATGTCACCCTTGGACAAATTAACTCCTCACCCAGTTTAATTTTAATATCAAATCACACAGGGGTCAAGATTCATCCACCCTGGGTAGAGAACCACAAGGCCTACGCACCACCTTACATCCCACTTAAAATAACTTCTCAAAGTAAGACTTAAGTGGAATCTTGCACTGGCCCTCTGCACATCCCCTGTGTAAACAGATAACTCAGTCCAAACACAGAGGGCCAAATTTACTATTGAATTTAGCTTTAAATGAGTTGTACCAATTTTCTCCAGCAATAAGTTTGTCCCAATGTGTCTTTGCTGCCAAAGGAATGGAGTGGCTGGCTAAAATTATGGTATATATTTTTATATCCTTTGGCTTTCCTTTAATGAGTAATGTAATATGGCCCTATTAAAAATAAACAGAATTTAACTGCAAAAATACTTGGTATGCTTTGGGCACTACTACTGTAAGAGAGTTGCTCAACCAGCTGGTGAGGCTACAATTTGGATGTCACATGAGAGTTTACAGAATTCCTGGAGTCAGCTAGTGCTAAGTTAAAACAGTCTTCACATATATTTTTGGATTTTCTTGCATATTTCAGTAAGCAATACAGAATAAAAATGACATCCTTTTCTGGAGTAATATTTAATATTAACATTTTCATTAAAAATATTTTGAAAAGTATATCTGGTGAAGACACTGGAGGGAAAATATTTATCTTACCCATCATGACTTCAGAACATATTTACCTTTCATGCTCCACGGGAAAACAAAACAAGTTTCTGCTTTCAGAACCTGATACATTTACATACGGTATTGGTAAATATGGGTTGTAACTGTAATGGAAAGAAATACCTTCTAGACAGCCACAAGTTCTCTCTTTAGCCCTGCACAATTCATTAGGATAAAACTTGCAATCCAATTCTCCACTGGATATTCTTGGGTTTACTGGAGACTTCAGAGGAGATGTATAAACTTACTGTCTCATCAATTATGGCTTCCAAAAGAGCCTCAGTGGAGCTGGTGGAGCTGATGGCTGGCATATGGTCCAACTTCCAGAGCCATTTAACAGCAGACTCTACAGAATATTCAGACACAGGAACGGCTTTCTGTTGCCACTTCACAAGATCTTGTGCAGTGCTGAAAATAATATTAGTGATTATTCAGGAGTAATGAGGAGCCACTGACAACACACAACAGCAGAGCTCAAAATATTTCTACTGTATTGACCTTTAATAATAATAAACCACCAACCACCAACTCTTGAGGTTGTAGTATTCCATTAATAGGACAGTAGTTAAAATACACATTTCTAAAACCAAACTAGTAATAAGATAAAGAGGCAAAATAAAACCCTCATAAGGCACCACAAGTTTGAAAATTAGTTTCTAAGGCAGTTGTTTCCAAGACAGAATTAAGATGACTAAAGAAATATAGCTGCTTTAAGAACAATTTCTAGAGCATATTTCCCCTGAAACATGCAAGAAACAATATAAAAGACCTATCTGACTGTACAGGCTGGTGGGATGTGGTGGGGAGGGAACAGAAATATTCCAAGAGTAAGAAATAAATAATCAGTTTTAACAGTGTTGCCAAGCTAAAACAAATGACCATGTTCTCTAAAAACTGGGGAGACAGCATGGTCCAGTACTTAAAGCACATGACTGAGTGTCATAAAACCAAGGTTTTATTTCTCCCTTTACCCCTGACTTAGATGAGTCATAGAATATCAGGGTTGGAAGGGACCTCAGGAGGTCATCTAGTCCAACCCCCTGCTCAGAGCAGGACCAATCCCCAGACAGATTTTTGCCCCAGATCCCTAAATGGCCCCCTCAAGGATTGAACTTGCAACCCTGGGTTTAGCAGGCCAATGCTCAAACCACTGAGCTATCCCTCCCCCCTTTGTGACTAATGAGTGATTTTTAGCCACTGTGTCATCTGTAAAATGGGATTAATACTTACCTACCTACCAAACCAGAGAGTTGGGATGTGGAGTTCATCAGTATTTTAAAAGTGCTTTGAAATTTTTGCGTTGAAGGCACTACAGAAGTGCAAAGCATGTGCGCATGTGCATGTATACAAAAAAAGAAGAAGAAAAAAAACAAAAACAAAAAACAGGTGGTTCTAGTCTCTGTGACATTCCAGAAAGCATGATTCGGAGAACTCTTAGCAAACCTGAGAGAGTAGTACTGTACGGTCACAAATTTTTTTAAAAGATAAAATGTATTTTTGTCCTAAATCCCCCTTCACTGCCTGATAAATTCAGCAAATACTTAACTTTACTGTGCCTCAATTTTGATATAACTTTGCAGATCATCTTTAAAAAAAAGTGTGTGTGTTTGTTTTTCAAAGGCCACGTAAGCTCACTTCTGATCTTCAAACCTCAAGTGTATTGGGAGGTGGGGAATTAAGCACTTCAGGGCACTAGAATCAAAACTATGGCATAAATCAGGGGCAAAATGACTTTAGGAGTCACAATCTAATTTTTAGTAGACTTTCTGAAGCCAGTTTTCAAAACAGTATGCATTAAATTGCTCACAAACCTTTGCGTACACATGACTTGCATGCACACAAACTCCCATCCTGACATGAATGTAAATCCTGTTTTGTGTGTGCAAACATCTATATGCTTGCATAAGTAAAGGCTTGCACATGCACATGAATTTGAAAACCTGGGCCTATTTGTCACTGAATACGAATTAATTTACTCATATTAGGAAAGGAATACAGTCGCTTTGTTAAGGCACTGGACTGGGACTCAAGACATCTGGTTTCATTTCTCAGCTCTGCTACTGTGTGATTTAGTGTGTGACACTGGGCAAATCACTTTCTCTGTGGCGTAGTGGCCCACCTGTAAAATGCAGATAGCAATACTTCCTACCATGAAACAATACACATTGGGAGAAAGGAACAGTACAGATGTACGATGCCTAACATAATGAGGCACTGAACTTGGTGGGATCCTTTAGGCACTACCATAATACAAATAATAATAACGACCATTGCTACTGCAGTAAGCATATCATCAGAATACAGATCTATACTCCACAGTACTTCTCTTCATCTCATTAACAAAAAGTAGAAAATAAACACCATTTCCCTTACCGAATGAGGTTAAACTTGTCAAGCTGGGCCACTTGCTGTGAGAGGACCATAGAAAGCGCATCACGGCACAGGTCAAATTCAGTTCTACACACAGTGCCAAAGTCCAGAACAATGGTGATGCACGATTCCAGAATCACTCCAAATATCTGCCGACTTTCACTGGTTACCCATTCCATTCGCTGCTTGTACAGCTCTATAGCTCCAGTTAGACAGTCCACAAAATGAAGAATTAGCTCTTTTTTGGCTGTCAGCTTTATTTAAATACAAGAGAGAATGAAAATGAAGATCGAAACAAATAACTCAAAGCAGTCCCAAGTCCAGCAAAGCTACAATGACTGATTTGTAGTGCCAGATATGCCAGCAAAGGTAGCAATGGAAACAACCCATTTTTCTTCCACTATTTCAGCAGCAAATACTTGACAAATGCCTCTGAGTCACTCACATATAATGAAAAAGCCACTGCACTTTATCCTAATTGCATTCCACAATATTTAAGCAAGCATAGGGCAGTGTCAGCTAGTTTGCATGACTTGTTTGTGACAAGATCAGAGCAATGTAAGCGACTTAAAGGAAATGGGGGCTTTGGGTGTTGGAAAGGACTGCAGAGCAGATGGATGGATATATTGGGGGCACTTGGAAACTAGTTATTAAGTTAGGGCAAGATTGTGACTTGCTCTTAAAAAGCTGTGCAGGGGAATAAGGGGATGTACAGTTCTTTCCTGGGGCAATGTAATCTCAATCTTGTCCTTAAGCAGCAGCTGAAAGGAAATTAAAAATGTTACTTTGTATTTTTGTTCAGGATGCCCAACATTCAGTATCTATTGGGCCTAAATATTTGTATTTAGGTATTTGGTGCAAATTAAAAAACAACTAACATCCCATAAGCCCCAGCCCCATCAGTAAATTAAGCAAAGCCAAGGACTACCCCGGAAAGAAAAATAATTATAAAACAAAAGAGAAATATATCTAAGACCTTCTCTGGACCTTATGACATTCACCCCAGGGTTCTAGGCAAAGTTATAGGCATTACCCTGACTCACGTACATAAGAACGGCCACACAGTATCAGACCAATGATCCATCTAGCCCAATACCTTGTTTTCCAACAATAATCAGTGCCAGATGCTTCAGAGGGAATGAACAGAACAGGGCAATCAGCAAGTGATCCATCCCCTGTCATCAAATCCCAGCTTCTGGCAGTCAGAGGTTTAGGGATATACAGACCATGGGGCTGCATCTCTGACCATCTTGGCTAATAGCCATTGATGTACCTATCCTTCATGAACTTATCTAATTCTTTTTTGAACCCAGTTACATTTTTGGTCTTCATAACATCCCTTGGCAACAAGTTCCACAAGTTGACTGTGCATCTTGTGAAGAAGTACTTCCTTTTATTTGTTTTAAACCTGCTGTCTATTAATTTAGTTGGGTTACCCTGGTTCCTGTGTTATATGAAGTTGTAAATAAAGAGCAGATGTTGTGAGAGAACTATCCACAATGACTCCAAGATCTCTTTCTTGAGTGGTAACAGCTAATTTAGACTTCATAATTTTTTAAGTATAGTTGGGATTATGTTTTTCAATGTGCATTACTTTGAATCCACATTGAATTTCATCTCCAATTTTCTTGCCCAGTCACCCAGTTTTGTGAGATCCCCTTGTAACTCCTCTCAGTCAGCTTTGGACTTAACTATCTTGAGTAATTTTGTATCATCTGCAAAACTTTGCCACATAACTGTTTACCCCCTTTTCCAGATAATTTATGAATATGTTGAACAGTACTGGTTCCAGTACAGATCATTGGTGGACCCCACTCTTTACCTCTTTCTATTGTTAAAGCCGACCGTTTATTCCTACCCTTTATTTGCCGTCTTTTAACCAAATACTGATCCATGAGAGGACCTTTTCCCTCTTAGCCCATGACTACTTACTTTGCTTAAGAGCCTTTGGTGAGGGACCTTGTCAGAGGCTTTCTGAAAGTCCAAGTACACTATATCCACTGGATCAGCCTTGTCTACATATTTATTAGAATTCTTTGAGGGTCAACAGATTGGTAAGATATAATTTCCCTTTACAAAAGCCATGTTGACACTTCCCCAAAAAATCATGTTCCTCTATGTGTCTGATAATTCTGTTCTTTACTATATTTTCAACCAATCTGCCTGATACTGAAGTTAGGCCTACTAGCCTGTAATTGCCAGGATCACCTCTAGAGCCTTCTTTTAAAAACTGGCATCACATTAGCTATCCTCCAGTCATCTGGTACAGAAGCTGATTTAGCAACAGGTTACACACCACAGTTAGGAGTTCAGCAATTTCATATTTGAGGTCCTTCAGAATTCCGGGGTGAATACCATCTGGTCCTGGTGGCTTATGTCTCTTTAATTTATCAATTTGTTCCAAAACCTCCTCTATTGACACCTCAGTCTGGGGCATTTCCTCAGATTTGTCACCGAAAAAGAATGGCTCAGGTTTTGGAATCTCCCTCACGTCCTATGCAGTGAAGTCCAATGCAAAGAATTCATTAATCTTCTGTGCAATGATCTTGCCTTCCTCGAGTACTCCTTTAGCATCTCAATTGTCCAGTGTCCCCACTGATTGTTTGGCAGGCTTCCTGCTTCTGATGTACGTAAAACAAATTTTTGCTCTTATTTTTTTGTGTCTTTTCCTAGCAGCTTTTCACATTCTATTTTGGCTCCCTAATTCTACACTTTGCTTGCCAGAGTTTATGTGCCTTTCTATAATCCACCCTAGGATTTGACTTCCAATTTTTGAAAGATGCCTTTTTGCCTCTAATCACCCTTTTTACTCTGCTGTTTAGCCACAGTGGCTTTTTTTTTTTTTTTTCTTTTTTTTTTTTTTTTTTTTTCTGTGTTTTTTTTTTTTTTTTTGGTCCTCTTACTGTTATTTTATTTGGAGTATAAA